TGCGTTCCAATTAGTCTTCCTACCAATATGACCGAGTTGCGAAAACAAGGTCAAACAACTTCTATAATTTATTACTGTTCTATATGCATGCTTTAAAATTGTCTGTCCTAGACATATTTTTCCCTTTTCATGTCACCGACTTTGCCTAATATATGTCGTTTGACTATTTGTCTGGCAACCGTTGTCTTTGGAATGTGCTTACTTTGTTCTTCGACATTTCAGCTCCACCAGCTTCTCACCAATTGCCAATCCTGTTGCAAACCTCTACGCCATGAATGGTCTGGCCGTCAGCAACTACATGAATTCCGCTGCTGTGGCAGCGAGTCTGCTTGGCTTGACGGGTAATGCGGGACCTCCAGGAGGTCAAACGGCCACTGCCATCAGCGGCATAGCCGCTCCGACGGCCTACTCCGAGCCACATCAGCACCAGCCCAATGTTCAGCCTCATCATGCCCATCATCACCAACAACAGCATCAGCAACAGCCACAGCAGCAGGCGCAGCCCCATCACCATCGACAACAACAACAGCAGCAACAGGCTTTTGCCACTTTGGCCGCAGTCGCTTCGATGCTTCCTAACAGTTCGCTCAATGGCCTTACGGGCCAGAGTAGTCCCGGGTCTTATGGAACTAGCTACAACCTTGGCTCGTTGCCTACCGGCTCGGCCGGCTTGTACGACTATGCTACTGGGCTTGGACTGTCAGCCGAACAACTGGCTCTACTGATCTCAACATATGGCCTGGCAGGTTCCGCCACAGCCGCACCTACCGCAGCTCAGGCTCCGGCCAGTCTAACTGGATTGAATGGTCATCTGGGACTCTCGGGGCATCCTGGACATCCAGGATCTGCCCAGGTGCATCAGCACCAACAACACGTCCACAATCAGTCCACCACTGGCAGGCACTTTGTGTCCGGAGGGTACCCGGGCCTAACAACTAATACGCCTCCCTTCGCCTTACAGGTGAGGAATCACTTCTGAATTCCTAAATCTGGTTTCCTCATGTACACGCACGTTTGTAAATACTAATTCTACATTCTTTTTCATGCACAGCCTACTTAGTAGAATTAAGGGGCCATACAATAAGTGTTCTCTAGGCATTGATTATGAATTTGATGTACGCCTGTAAATATTAACGAAAACAATTGTAACAGCAATAGTGATTGCAACTAAGGAATGAAGAGAAGCTGAGTCACGAAGAATCTCTTAATATACTCACGTTATGTTATAAAATATGGTTGGGGGGACCTTCATTTCGTATGAAAGTGCATGAAGAAGAGATGCGTTGGTCAATATCACCAGATGAGGACAAATGAATCTCGTTGTACTTCAGCCGTTTGGATTTTATACGATTTTCATGTTGAAACAGTCCACGGGTTTCCTCCCTCGTTTCGGGTGAAAATGTGCTGAGCTTTCGTCCATCTGATGATGTCCATCAAACGTTAACACTAGGCCGAGAAGACTATCCGGCTTTATCTTACCCATTATATAGACTCTGTTACGCCAAAAGAAAATTAAAAATTAAAAATTAAAAACCGAGATGGATATAGAGTGATTTGGCTAATTATCTTTCATACTTGTCTTGCTACTTTTGCTGATATTTAGGAACGGTATTGCGTATAGACGCTAACACACACACACATACACTCGAGCAAAAGTAGCAGGACAAGTATGAAAGATAATTAGCCAAACCACTCCACTTAGCTTTTTAATTTTTAATTATTAATTTTCTTTTGGCGTAACTGAGTCTATATAAGAGGTAAGATAAAGCCAGACAGTCTTCTAGGCCTAGTGTTAACGAAAGCCTTTTACAAGAATGACACCCAGCTCTGATGATGTCCATCATAAGATGAACTAAAGCTCATTACGTTTTCAGCCAAAACGAGAGAGAAAGTCATGTGGATTGCGTCAACGTGAATATCGTATAAAATCCAACCGGCTGCAGTACAACGAGTTTCCTCCTTCCTCGTCCGGTGAGATCGACCAACGAATCTCTTCTTCATGCACTTTCATACGAAAGGAAGGTCCCGCTAACAATGTTATCTCAGGAGATTCATCGAAACCAAGTTTCTCTTCGTATCTATAAAATATGGCTAGAGGAGTTTTATAAATTTACCTTACCCAAAACTGATGGTGAACTACCTTAGACTTGTGAGTGCATGATTATGTGAAGAAGGCCCTGACCCATCTTTCTGTGTCTCTGATGAATCCGTTATTGAGCTTCCAATTATCATATGACATACATCACCAGAAGCCATCATCTACGAAGATTTAGTGTCTTGTTTTTCGAGCGAATTCTTTCGTAAATAATCAGTATAACATTGAGCCGAGTTCTTCTTCGCACGATCAAACAGTCACAATTACAAATCTATCCTCCTTCTGTGATGCCAATCTGCGAAATGCCTCTACTCGTCTTTTCGTCTATATAGTGGCGAATAGTCGGTTTCAGGAGGCATTCCATGTTTTATCTTACTCGTTAGATTGAAATTTTTCAACTTTGATTCCATTCACAATGAATATGTGCTTATGCAAACAGAGATTTGGTAATTCCAATAGAATTCCCAGACTTGGCTTCAATTTACAATTAGAGCAACATAGAAGT